ATGCGCAGGCTGGGGGGAGGTGGGTACAATGGGGGGGAGTGGGGTGGTGGTTGACTGAAGAGATGTTGAAAGTGCGGAGGGGTACTGTCCTCCATGGCATCAAGGAATGTATAATCGGAAGGAGACTGTGGGGGTGCATATGGAAAGGTAGAATCATCAAACGTGACATGGCGTGACACAATAATTTTCTGAGTGGTGAGATCTAGACACCGATACCCACGCTGAGACTCGGGGTAGCCAAGAAAAATGCACCGCGCAGAACGGGGGGCTAATTTATGAGGGGTGGTGGCGGATAAATTTGGGTAGCATAGACAGCCAAAAACACGTAAGTGATGGTAGGGTGGAGGGGTGTTATATAAGGCTTCATGGGGAGTACGTTTTTGTAGTGTGGTGGTGTGTAAGAGGTTAAACAAATGAGTGGCCATGTGAAGGGCTTCCACCCAAAATTGGGGGGGTAAATTGGCTTGAAATAGAAGAGTACGATTGGTGTTATTTATGGTGCGGATGGTGCGTTCTGCGCGGCCATTTTGTTGGCTCGTGTAAGGACAAGAGAAGCGAAACAAGATCCCCAATGACTCAAAAAATGCAGCAAGTGGGTTGTTACGGTATTTAGTGCCATTGTCACATTGTACAGCTTTAATGGTTGTATTAAATTTGGTTTTGACAAGCGCATGAAATTTGACCAAATGAGAGTATGCATCTGATTTGTGATGTAAAGAAAACACCCATAAATAATGAGAGAAATCAGCAAGCAAGAGCATATAAAATTTAAAGCCAGTCACACTAGGAACAGGAGATTGCCATAAGTCTGTATGCATTAGTTGAAAAGGAAATTGAGAAATACGACTCGACAACTGAAACGGTAGGCGAACATGTTTGTCTAGTTGACACGCATGACAAAGGAAATCTAATTTTGATTTATTATTATCTAAAACAGAAGAGATGCCATGGAGCACAGCAGAGCTTGGGTGTCCAAGACGGCGGTGCCATGTTGGGAGGTCAACTTTGGAGAGGTGAAGTTGTGCTGGGGGCAGGCTTGAGAAAATGGGTAGAGGTGTCCGTCACTATAGGATCGTTGAATCACGGCTCCCGTCGGATTGTCCTTCACAGAGAAACCAGAAGAGTCTAATTCAACGGAGCAATTGTTATCACGAGTAAATTGACGGACAGAGATAAGGTTGTAAATTTAGGGAGAAGGGAGGATTGGTTTTAAGGGTTCCGTTGCCAGAGCCCGTAGTGCTTACTCTAGATCCATTGTCTGCAATAATATGAGAAGGTGAATTAATGTTTGAAGAAAATACATGAGATAAAGTACCTGAGTCGGCGGTGATGTGGTGCGAGGCTCCGGTGTCCATGAACCAGGTTGGGTGGGAGTTGAGGTGTAGGTTTTCGAGGCTATGGGTTAGGGCGGTGGGTGAGGGGGTTTGGTTGTAGGGCTGCGGATAGGGGGAGGGGGTGGTGTAGGTTTGTGGGTAATTGGGTGAGTGGTTCGGGTTTGAGTAGACAGGGGGGTAATACGGGTTTGGATGTGGGTATAGGGCTTGTGGCAGGTTCGGGTTGTAGGTTGGATTTGGGTATTGGGCCACGTGGGCCTAGGCTGGGTAAGGGGGGTATGGGCGTGGGCCAAGTAGGCTGGGTGAGGGGGTAGGGAACTGCCAAGGGTTTGGGCCTCAGGGTTGTCGTTGATTCAAGTATCAATGGAGAATTAGATCCAAGTATCAATGAAATAAACTTTTTTACTTAATCTATGTACAAAAATTAGATCAAATTATTCAAGTATATCAATGGAGAATTAATATCTTTTTAGAGACTAGAGTCATCAACTCATATGCTTTGGGATAATTATAAATTTTAATCAATAATAATCAACATAATAAACAATTTCATTTTATAGAAAATCGAAAAATAAAAAAAATAATCCAAAAAGTTTCACTAATTACACATAAAAAGGAAAAATATTATTTTAGATCATAAAAAGTTTCACACATTACACATAAAAAGGAAAAAAAGTTTCACACATTATTTAGATCATACTTTAAAAAGGACAAAAATTATTTGGAAATGCCTGGATGCTTGTGCGATTCTACGATTGTGCGATACTCGATCAAACGATTCGAAGCTGTGGGGGACTTGCGGCGACGCGGCGGACGCAAGACGGCGGTGCAGCAGGTGCTCCTGTTCGGATTCCACTTCCAGTAATCGGCACTTTGGCGGTTCAATTGCTCCTGCTTCTCGGTTTCCGCAAACACCAAGGGGAAAGCAGTAAATTTGGAAATAATTGGAAGGAAGTAAATTTTATTTTTGGAAATTTGGACAATTGGGCCACTTTTTGAATTGGGTCTTTAGACTTTAGGTAATAAATTGGTTTGGGCTAAATAATGGAATGGGGGCAAATTTATTTTTTTATTGGGGGCAATTATATATAAAATTTAAAAATATACATATATTAAACAAAATTTATTGGGGGCAGCTGCCCCCATATTCCAAAGAGTGGATCGCCCGTGGTCTCAGGGGGTGGACACCATGAAACAGGAGGCTTTGATTAATTTATGTTTCCGCATACTACCGTAATGTCAAGATTGTTTGTCACGTCTTCAACTCCATAAGGAGAATCCTTGTCCCACGCCTTGGTTAGTATCCAAAAATTTACCTATAACTTTTAACCGGCTAGTTTGAATTTTGGATTATATTTTCCTAAGCTGATCTTATTTCTGTTGTCCAAAATTACTACGATAATGACGTGAAGACAAGCCAACAAGAGTTTCTTCTCAAATCCACGAGTCTCAAAACCTTCTCACACGAATAATGCGTCTTTTGTGTTTTTAGGGGCACATAAGTCACATCATGCCAATGATAGAGAGCCAGTTTCATCAAAAATTTCTATCAATTTCTTCACCAAAATGTAAGAAAAACTGTTTTCCTTCTCTTTAGTTTACTTCTTCGTCCTTTTCATTTCTCTCACTATGTTTGTTTGCTTGTTTGTTTAGTTAAAGATAGCTAATAAAAAGAAAAACAGCCAATCAAACAACGGCATGTCAATGAGTGACCCCTACAATTACAAGTTCAAAACAAGTGACTCAAATTTGCGGTTATTATGGAATAATCCAAACATGGGGGCGGATAAATGACACTTTAGATAATTCAGAGCAAATTTTAACAGAAAAAAATATTAAGTTTTACAGGATTACAGTATCAGAATCCTTACAAGTACACATATATAACGATGCAAATAAGTTGCGAAATACTCCACTTCTGCATGTCCATCTCTGAAAAGAACACTCTAAATTCAGATCGTCCGATGCTGCTGTCAGTTGCAAGCAGAAATTAATATTCTGATAAATGACTCCCAAGAACACTCTAAACCTTGGCAGTTCCTGCTTTTCATCAGAGGATTATAATGTCAGCAGATTCATGATACAATCTACTATTCTCCATAGTCAATAGACAACAAAGTAGGCCAATATAACAACAAAAGGACAATGACGACAGGCCAGCACATACATTTAAACCTATCCACGCACGATTGGCATCAGATCAGTAAATAATTTACAGCAAAAATTTGGACACTATAAACAAATTGAAGCTTACGCAAAAACATAACTGAAGTTTGTATTTAAAATTCCCTCGAAAAAGAAATATATATTTAAAAGAACAGGGAAGTGAAATATTGCACATCTTGAGTGGTTTTACTCAGGTCAGTACAAGACTAAAGAGAGTAGATCATGTGTTACTTCTTTGTTTAACCAACAAGAGCATTGCTGCTTGATAGAGGAAAAAGCACTTTGGCATTTTAATTATGCCATGTGATGTCTTGTATGAAGACAGCTAGCTCTACACGCTAACACGGAATTACGTGGATAAAAGACCACCTTGTATTTAGATAAACAGTTAACCGGCAAAAGGCCGACATCAAGGTGCCAAGTCTTCTCATTGGGGTACATTTATGTAGTTTAGCAAAAAGAACACGAGGATTAGATAAAAAAAAATTAAAGGGGGTTTCGCAAAAGAGATTTCTAAAGGGGGGGGGGGTTCGCAAAACATCAGAACACTATAGAGGGGGTTTGACAAAAAAAATCCCAATTCTGAACATAAAAGATTGGTTTGATACCATCGGAGATTGTGATCAGGGCCTAAGGGTGCATCAACACAGTGGCATAACTGCCACCCTTCCCTCCTGCACCGATATGAGGTACAACCTAAGTTTTTTTACCATGATATTTGATTTTAGGGAATGATACAATCAATCACTTTTTATCTTATTTTTGTCTTTTTAAAACTCTAAACCTATCTCAACTTTTAAAATTGGTATTGACTATTGCCTCCCTCTCCACCTTTACCTTCTTCTTTTGAAATCCGCATACCCTCACTGATGCTTTCCTCCTCCTCCTCCTCCTCCTCCTCCTTACTTTATCTTTTTTGGTCATTGGTGCAAACTTTGTTTCATATTAGTATTTAGTAGGCCCCAAATGAGTTTGGGAATAAGGCTTGGTTGTTGTTGTTGTTGTTGTTGTCGTTCTAGCTTATAGTGGCACCACACCGCATCAAGATACAGAGATGTGTGCCACAACAAATCACAGCTCATCAAAAACTATGTCAAAACCATTAAACATGTAACTTTCCTTTATCAAATCAAATTGCACACGCCACATATGGTTCTGTAGAAAACTTCTCCACTATTCTAATGTGATCAATCAGCATACAATAGCAAGAGCAATGTGATAAATGAATCATAATTAAAAACATGATTACCTAGACAGGGAAGTACTTGACACCAAAGCAACGGGTGGGAAGGGTATGGGTCTCTGGAGGAAGTGGCGTGACGAGTAGATCACCAGGACTGTCAGCGGCACGCTCGAACTTAAACTTGGCGATATAGACATAGGTGGTGCGGACTTTATCAAAATCGATGGAGTAAGTAGCTAAGCACAAGATCCCATTCCCTAAATAAAGCATAGCATCAAACTCACATCTCCAAACATGGTCCGGGACCTCCGAAGTAAGCACGACGTTAAGCCACTGTTTGGTGGCAACATGGTATGCGCCGAACATCTTCGGAATTTGGGGCAGATAGAAAAGAATCACCCCTTGAGCAAAGACGAGTATGGAAGGCCATGAGAAAGATTCGAGAACAAGTTCCCATCGATTGTTCGACGGGTAGTAGGCAAACACGGATTTGATGCTATGGAAGGGGATGAGGATCCGTTTATTCTCATCGTCAACAACCCCACACCGATCTTTGTAGATGTCGAAAAAACCCACCTGAGGTGGTGGAAGCAATTTCTCCCACTTGTTTGAGTTGGGATCAAAAACCTCGGCTGCCTCAGACTTGCCACCGCATTGAAATAGATATATCTTACCACCAAATGCGACCACAGCAGGTATATAGGGAAGACGATAGCTCACGTAAGGGGCTTCCTTCCAACCCCTTTCACCACCATCACCTTGGCTCAAATCTAGAAAAGACATGCCCTTGTGATAGATGCCCTTTTTGTTGTTAGTTACAGAATTCGGTGGCTCAATGTTGCACCACCTGGTCTTATCACGTTCCCAGATGCCAACAACATAGATGACTGAACCCAGAGCCACCATTGAATTCCAGCCCTTATCGGCAAATAAAACATAAGGGCAATCTGACACCTCACCTGTACGGAAATCGAGGAAGAAAAATTCACCAAACTCGAACCCTCCTTCAACACGTCTTGCTACCTGCAACAACAGCTTATCCTTCTCCACATCTGGTGAGATGGAGGAACCACTACTCCTCTCCTCAATCCCCATTTTCTCTTTTCAAACTGTTACCTGCATGTAGTCAGAGACTTTGAAATCAGGGTTGAGTAAAACAATAACTTGTCAGCCACTTTTAGTGCTAGTTAAAAAAATTTGAAGCCAACAATTCATAACACTCACACTACAACCCTACTTAACTTAGCCACAGCTGATTAGAATAGTTTCCTCCAAATGTGAGAGCTAATTACAACATAATCATCCCACTAACAGAAACAAAGTATCTAAGTTGTCATCTAATCACACTACTCATAACAAAAAAAGAACTTATTTAATAATTTGAAATAACCGACCAAAACGAACAGCTTTATAGTATAAACGTAAAACCGAAATAACCAAATTCATGCTACTGGTGTATTTTTTCATATGATCAGAGGGGATAATTGAAAATCCAATACTCCAACAAAGTTAAAAAAAATAGAATCCATGGTTTTGCAAGGAGACCGAGGTGGTCCGCCTCATGGCGGTTGCATTTCGCCTCTGAGGCTTAAGCCACATCAGGGATACGTCTACCTGAGGCAAGTACGCCTAGGCGTAAACCTCAACTTTAATAAGAATTTCAACAGTAAGGGTTATTTTGAAAAATTTATTGGGCCTTTTTTACAAAAACTCTTTTGGGACAAACCTAGTTGATAGTCAACACTTCTTTCCCCGACTTTAGCGTCAACTTCTGTCTCTCCATCTTCAACCATACTTCTATCCATCTTCAGACTTCAGTGGCACAACTTCACTCTTGTGGTATTAGCTAAGGTGATTGCTCCATCATTTAATCACTAATGTGTAATTTCTTTCAACTTTTAATAGTTTGGGTTCCTTCTTTTCTAGCATCCTTCTCCCTCTTTTAAATTCAGTTAAAATTCACAAATTAACCGTTAACTCACATACACAAATCAACATTACAAAAGTAGAGTGAAACTCTGAAATTTAACATCCGAAAACTGAAACTCTGAAATGATTGAAAAGATAAATGAATGAACTTTGCCATTCCTTATCTACCGCGGTACTTTCTTAGCAATCATCTTTAACTCAGCACGGCAACAAAATAATGTGTACCATAAGATAATTTAAGGTATAATAGACTGGATTTCAAACAAAATAAGATACTCCGTTTTAAGCTCAAACCAGAATCCTTTTTAATTTTTTTCAATTGAAATGAAAATACTTTTAGAAAATGATGTAGAATTAACGAAACAAAGTATAGAATTGCGAAATCATTAAAGAAACAAAATAAGAATACTTTACCTGTGACGAATATCAGAGGCGTGAAGCAGAAGGCAATACCCGAAGGTTCAATTTTGCAGCTGAAGATCGTGCTGAGAACGGAAGGACGGAGTGAGCGACAGATCACAATTTTTGATATTAGGTTTACGATTCTCAATCTCGACTTCTACCATTGTATTGGGCTTCTTATTTGGGATGGATACTAGGGGTGTTCAAAAAAGGTCTGGACCGGATTTTGGACCTGAATCGGACCGGAATGGACACGACCGGTCCGGAAGATTCAAGTCCGGTCTTCGGGTTTTACAGATTAAGGATTCCGGGTTTTCGCTCCGGTCCGGGTTTGACCCGGAATTTTCCGGTCCGGACCGGAATATATTATATAAATTCTATCCATTATTAATTTCAAGCCCAAAAGCATTAGATCCAGTCCATATAGTTTTAGATTCATGAATTTCATTTTTCCAATATTTAGGTTTTAAATATTTTATTTTAGATTATTATTTTTACGGTAGTTTATATATTTGAATAATTTATAAAATAAGTTTTGATGAATTTGTTGCTACTACTTATAAGTACTATTTTTATTAAATAATTTGAACAAAAGCAACTTATTATTTTAATTTTTTTCTAAATTTTTTTAATAATTTAATTCATTTATAAGATTGAAAAAAAAAATATAAAAAACATTCCGGTCTAAAGTAGAGTAAAACCGGACCGGACCGGAAAAAACAGGTCCGGTCTTCGGTCCTCAAGAAATTGCAATTCCGGTTCCAGTCCTAACCGGTTCCGGTCCGGTCCGGTCCAGTCCGGTTTTGGACCGGTGCACACCCCTAATGGATACATATAATTGAAATTTGCACTTAATAAGACTAAATGTATGACTTAAACTTTTTTATTTTCTAAATAAGACTTAATAATGGCCAGAGAGAAGAATAATGACCAAGTAGTAGTGAACATTTAATTGAATAATGACTAATAGATAATGACCAATGGTCGAAAATAAAAACATATGATCCTATATTGAGAAAGTCATTATGTTTTAGTCCTATTTAGGTAAATTACCCTACATATAAACTAAGAAAATGTTACGGGTCACGGGTACACTAAATATGTTGTATCCACAAACATCTCCCTCTCCATAAACACAAAAATTTATACGTAAAATTCAAAAAACATTAATAAATAAAAACCAAACAAAAATAAATGACAAAGAAGAATATGGTGTAAATTTTTGTTGCTAACATTAAAAACAAGGTTTCTGCCTTGAAATATTCCATACCTTCGAACTGCATCCCTAAACAATTCCCTATTAGGAAACCTCATTCCTGGATGCCAAACTAACTTTGAGAAATCAGTGTGTGCATCAATAATGGGGGCTGACTTTTTCCTCTTTTTTCCACGAATGTCATCCTCCTCACTCTCTCCCGGGGTGTTAGCATACTCATCAGGATCCTCATACCTTGATACAAGATCCCGAGCTTCTGTAGTAGCAGCTCCTAGGGTTGGATTTGGAGTTTGTATAATGAAATTAACAACTCCATCCACTTTTGCATTTTCTTTGTCATGCCAATCATTGAACTTTCTTCTAACATCCCTACACTCCTCATCATTAGTGTCACTGTCAGACCCTAATCGTACCTCATCATTAGGCATCTCCTCTTCTAAATCTCTCATATTAGTATTTGAAGAAGACCCCAATATCTCATCCTCAACACATGTCTCAATTCTATTCCCTTTATTAAGCCTAGTCAACTATTCAGTGTCTTCCCCTTCTTCCTCTTCATCGTGTGAATCTTCCTCTGAAATGTCAAGTTCTGTGGACTGAACCATTTCTTCTTCAATAAAATGAGATGGGCAGAATGTAGAAATACTGAAAGTCTTCATAGGAATTTTGCTCTGTTGAATTTTGTCAACAACAGGACTAGTATCTCTTCTATTTTGGTTTGAAGCACAAGCAGGAAAATTTTTAGTCTGGTGCACAACATATAAACAAATAACATTACCACTTTCTTCTCCATCTGTCACCATTTCAATTGTCTCTTTGTCACCATATATTCTCTTCAGCCCTTTACCCAAATCACAGCCTGGCTTTGCACAATACAACTTAGAAACACGAGGATAATCTCCACAATCTTTTGCCCAATCAAGAAGATCAAAATAACTAATTTTATCTGGATCTACATCGTCTAGAACACAGGTGTTACCTCCGACATACTCTATAGTCCGTTCATGATTCAAATTTCCACCATAATTGTATATGAGCTTCATCTGAAAATTCACAAAGAGTGAAACCTGGGCTTCTGCGAGAAAGCTGGTGTCTTGGAGCTAAACAATTGTACGGGTTTCCAATTAGGGTTCTGCATCTAATGACAAGCATGTTTTTAATAATAATTACATGGCATCGTAAGATATCCACCGTGTTAAAGCCATGTCAAATTCCCGTTAAGGCAGAGTTAGTGTTTAGACGGAGGCCCAAAACGGATAAAAATTAAAGAAGTTAGGCTTATTATAAATAAAGAGAGAAGTTGGGATTATTTTAGGAAGACGAGTGAAAGTTGGGATTATTTAGGAAAAAATTTCCATAAATAAAAACCAAACAAAAATAAATGACAAAGAAGAATATGGTGTACATTTGGGGTATACTTTTGGTGTACCCCTATTATATTCCATAAAATAAACTAGCATTGAATAAATTATGTGCGTAGGTGCCCAAATTTGGTTATATTGATTAATGGTATTAAAGTTGAGTAAAAGATGTAATTTTTAGTAAAGGAGTATTTATAATAAAAGGCTCGCAATTGGGACTTGATACTAAGAGTGTCTAGTTTGCATACATACGCATATGTATTTAGTTAATTACAAAATACTCACAAATGGAAGTTGCCCCGAAAGTTTGAAGAAGAAAACATTCCCTGTGCAAATTAGCCCACTTGTGAGCATTTTTACACCCTCTAAATGTCATTATTTTAATCTTGTTTCTGAACGAAAAATGTGTCCTTATGTCATACAAATCCGTAGCTTCAAACAGTTTGTGATTCCGTTGAGTAACGAATGAGAAATGACCCGAAAACCAGGGCTGGTACAATGGTGACGGGAAGTGACGAGTTTTGAGATTTCCGGCGTTCTTTTCTATTTCATTGCAATCCCGTAGAAATGTAATTTATTGAGATCTTTATAATTATCAACGTTTCTATCTTCACTCAAATTATTCGCATCTTCAGAGATTGTTAAATTTTCATTTGAAACAAATTGTTCGTTGATATTATTTTTTATATCAACATGCTCGATTTGTTCATTTTCTTTCATTGAAGAATGAACTTCTTTTGTTCCAAAGTTTGTCTCTTGCCTTTTAAGTTCTCTTGATTTTAAATCCTTTGACCCAGGTGGCCTGCCACGCTTTTTGCGTATTGAAGACTCATTCGCAAGAGTTTTTTCATTTTTCTCTAAAGGAATTTCAATTATGTCAGGAGCATATATAGTAGGAATATGTGACTTTGTCACTTTCTTTAAATCCGTGAATGCGTCAGGTGATTGATTTGCAACATTTTGTAAATAGATTATCTTTTGCTTGCATGAATTTATTCTTGGATCAAGAAAAGATAATCATGTTGCGTTCATGTAATCTCTTTTGTACATGAGACCTTTTTCTCATTTTCTCACCCTAAGGCTGAGAATACTGTCTCATTGAAATGACAATCAGCAAACAGAGCTGTGAATAAATCATCAGTCATGAGTTTAAGATATTTTATAATTGACAGAAAATCAAATCCAACATAATTTTCAAGCCTTCTGTGAGGACCCATTTTTGTATGATGTGGTGGAGCAATTAGTACATATACATCACATTCAAATATGTTTATGTGGCAATATTTGGTTTTTTTCTATATACCAATTGCAATGGGGAAAAATGTAATTTGCAGTAGACCTTAGCTGAATTAAATTTGTAGCATCCAATATAGCACGTCCCCAAACGGATGCAGGTAAACTGGATTTCATCATTGTCTAAGAATTAATTGTAATCGTTTTAATAAAGACTCAGCAAGACCATTTTGAGTGTGCACATGAGCAACTGGATGCTCCACATCAATCCAAATAAACATTCAATAATCATTAAATGATTGGAATGTAATTTCTCCTGCATTATCAAGTCAGATTTTCTTTATTGAATAATCTTGAAATTGAGCTCTCAAACGTATAATTTACAATAATTCTACTATGGATAAAAAAAATCTAAGTAGTAGAGGACATGCAATTACATTTATTGAAAAACAAAAAGAAACAAGACACATGCATTTACATTTATTGAAAAATTGGTTCTTTTGATAATATTTCTATTATAAGAGGAAAAGATAAAATGTAATCACATGGACATCAAAGTGTTCTCGTACTACTCTTTACGAAAGATTCTATTCAATATATGATATTGTAGAGCCATTATTTGAGCTGTCTTTTTCTCATTTTCAAAAGAGAAAAATTCTTACTGAGTAAGATAGATATGTGTCTAAAATCTTGGAAATATTGAAGGAAGGCTACATATTAACAAGAGATGATTTATGGTAAGATTTTTTTTACATCTTATTTTTCAATAGTACTACATCCGTTCCGCTATATTCGTCCAGTTTTGACTTTTGGAACTGTTTATCTAAGCACTTTGACTCATCAAATTCTCTCCATATGTAAGTTTAAATATAGTCATGTGTGATCTCGTTTGATTTGTCTTAACATATAGGTTATTAATATATAATTTCTATAATTTTTTAATATACAAATTACAAGATAAAATGGATTAATGAAATGTATTGGATGGTGTGTAAAAATGAAAGTGGACAAATATAGTGGGACGGAGGGAGTAGTTAAAAATAAAATTGATATTTGTTTTTCAATCTTTGCTACTCCCTATCAAATTCTACTATTTGTTTTAATTTATCAAAAATATGATTTTATATGATTATGAGGAAATTTATTTCTTTTAATTTATCTAATTTTATTTTATAACTATTGGTTTTTGATGTGAAGGATCCCTACTTTGGGCAATCACAAAGCATACTTTTCATAGTTTTTAAGAAAATGTTTTATTTTGTATATAAGTAGTTTTTGATAAAACATACATCCGAGAAGAACAAAGTTTTCTGCAATAATGAGCAAATTTGTGATGATAACGTGTTATAAAATGTGAGAAAAAATATTCAGAGATTATGAGAATAGATATAATATATATATACTTTTGATTTTTAATGGTGTTTTGCAGGGATCCTAAGCCTAGTAGAGAGGCCTAGTGGTAACAGTATTACAAATAGTATACATACTATACAAATGACAACTTGATGGTGACGATATATAATTTATTTCTGCAACTATGATGATGCATGACCTAATTAGTTGATAAATGAACAATAATTCATATTTTTCTTAACAATATATCTTCAAATTTAACGGCTTATTAATCGGATGACATCTCTTTCCCTTCAATAACGTTCATGTCTCCACAGAAATTGTATGTTCATGATCTAGTGTCTTCGGGTTTGAATCGAGACAACGGGTTATGAGCTTTATTTTTTTAAAAATTAAATTTATACAATGACGCATTATTATAGTGCAAACTCTATTTTGGGGATAAAAACGAAAGTCTTTCTTTGGTACTTTTCTCGATGTTTTACTCTTATTTAAGATGATTTTTTTTCAAAAAAGTGTAAGATAAGTATGTGATATTGGTAAAAACGTGTTTGAATATATAAGTTTATATACTAAAACTGAGTAATATAAAAGAAATATGAACATAACCTTATTTCTATCGTACTTAATTCGTCTACAAATAAACTTTCCATTGCGCGTTACGATATTTGACTGAACGAAGAAAAATCCCAAGTTTCTTCCCAGTTCGCTAAACTTTCCATTGCGCGTTACAAAAGATATACTCCCTCCGTCCTAAAACTTTCTTCCCAGTTCGCTAAACGAAGAAAAATCTCAAGTTTTTTTTATCTATTTTATTTAAATATTGATATAGAAATAAAAAATAAAATATGCATATTTAAAAACTAGATCAAAAGTTCAACAAAACAAGTGGTGACAAGAATACTTTATTTTAACATATAGCTAATAAAGTAAATAAAATTTGACCATGTGAATTGTGAACGAGAAGTTTATTCGTTGACGGAGGGAGAATTAGTTTTCATATTAAAATACATGATTTTGAACATGTTAACTAGTCGCTCAAGTCTGGTTAAGTTCGGTCAAATTTGAACCATTTTTCTTTTCAATCCAATGAGCTGATTTCAATCCAGAGATTGCCGCCTTAAAAAAAAGGACGAGGGCGTGAGGACAGGTGTTCGAAGAGTGAACTAAGCGGATCTGAGCTTATCCCGGAGCGGAGCACAGCAGCGAGGCTAGGTTTCTGGCCTTGAAGACATGCATGAGGGAGATTGAAAGGAAGAATGTGAGTGGAGGAGGCTAGTGTACATCACACTTTCTTATTGCGCAAAGGCTAAAGGGATAGGGTTTTGTTTTGCTTGATTAGGTTGTTTTCAATCCGTCAGTGGTGTTTTAGATATGGATGAGGTGCTAAAGGAACACTTAGAAGATGTTTGTGGATTGGTAAGTAAATCGTGTGAAGAGGGAAATTTTGAGGAGGGCATGGAAATTATACTAGATTCTGGTTTAAACCCTCTTGAGTATGATATGCTGTTCGATTTGAAGTTAGAATGTCTGAAAGGATTAGGTGATGATAATTCAGTTGAGGAGTGTGTAACTCAGCGAACAGAAGCCGAGAGGTTAAGAAAGTGTCATGTAGAGAGATGCATAGTTAGATGTGAGGAACTGTGTCAGAATGGTGAATATGGAAAAGCTTTGGAAGAGATTGATGGATGTGGTGTTGAGCTCGATAATCACCTTCATTTATGGGGGAAGAGAATCAAATGTTTGAAGTCATCGGGAATGTTTGATGGTAAGTCAAGTTGTGGAAACCTCTAATTAATTAATTAATTCATTCATATTACTGGAGTAGTATTTTTCTTTTTCTTTCTTTTTCTTCTTATGCTCTATTCAAAGGTAATTTTAATTTAATTTGTAGTAACTCTTTTGTGTTGAATTTATTTCCTTTGTGCAGATTCCAGGATGCAGTAGCTTTAGTAGCTGGCTATAAACACAATATGATACCAGAATTGCTTGAAATTATAATGTAATTATCCTGTCTTTCTATACATATGATATCTTTGTTTGTGGAATACACATTTCGTTTTGATTCTAAGTACGATCATTAGATTATGATGGTATGCTTGTTTCTTATATTTATAGTGCCGGAACTGAAGAAAGAAGCCCCAAAACTTCAGTGTTTGATAATGGATTTTTTGCTTACACGGAAGTTGGTGATGAGATGAAACCAGAACCTATTCTAACAACTGAGGTGTTTTTTATTTTGCTAAGGCACTCTTGTTTAGTTTTGAGTGTTGTTTATAAGAAATCATACGATAATGACACACACACACACACAAGTAAGGGGGATGATCAGACAAGCACAAAAAAGTAATTGACAACAATTGATGAGAGAATAACTGAACCGAAGGGGCTTGGACATAGATTTAGAGTTGAGGTGACTTAATATTTTTCTTCCTTCTTGTTTGTACTATGAAACTAACTAAATTGAATTACTTCTAAAAACAAACTTTGTTGTTTTCGATTTTACAGATTCCCCTCCAGTTCAATCACATTATTGGTGAAAGTCTTGGAAACAAGCTTTACAAGGGGATTGTTACTTGCCATTCTTGGACTAGAAACATGTCATTCATTTCTGCAACATCTAGTCAGATATACGAGATTGATATGTTGAAAAACATTGGATGTGAAAATGAGTTCATGGTATATGTTTCTCATTCCGTGTACGATGAAGTGCTATTATCATTGTTGGTGGTGGAACCGTTAGTTCCGCTTAGGCACTTCTTTCGTTTGCAGTTAGATTTGTTCAGATCCCGTGGTTCTAAAGAAACAACGAAAGGAGATTGGTGGAAATCCATCGCTGCTACTTTCACTCAGATATTTGGGTATGCACTTGATATTCCATGTTTGTGTTGTATTTTCAGATTTACTTGAAAAAAATTGTTTTGAAATCATGATTGTGTTTCTAATTATTTTTAGGGATGTTGTACACGGTTTAATATACTTGCGATCTCTAGCACGCGGTGAATCGAAAGACATCTACATATGTGGCGATTTACATAATCACATATATGTAGATAAGAAAGGGCGTGGCAAGATTTTATCACTATTGGATCATACCAAGAAGCCCTCTCAAGATTGGCAAAACCTTTTAGAGATCATGCAAGAAATCGTCACTCTTCCATTTTTAGAAAAGGAAATAGATGATTCATATGAGCTCCCGCTAGAGTTAAGGAGGCTATTCAAATCCTTGAACCAACCTAAGCAGTAAGTCATGACTTTCTCGCCTTTATTTTTTCATTGCTAAGTTTTTTGTTATGCACAAGCAGTGTACATAACCATAGAGAGACTAAATTTTTTATTAACATTTAGTTGTTGTTTGTGCTTTGCTCATCCTGCCACATTTCAGTAACAGCACCTAGCATCTGAACAATCTGCTCTATGAATGTTAACCTCTGATACGATATCCAATCCACTTCAGCTCATCCTTTAACCTTTTGCCAGTTTAGAGTATCCCAGCCATGGGATACTCACACTTAAAGAATAAACGTCGATCGCTCTCTTGCTTAAGATGCATTGGTTCATGATTATCGGTGCTGTCTTGAACATATTGTGAGTGGTAGGCAGCTTTAGTTGACTGGCTATAGTTGCAATATAGGAGTGCCTAGGCCATAGAACTCTGAGTATGCTTAAAATGAGCCTTCACTAGAAACTGAAATCTGAAATAATTGTACGCTTTTCTGCGCATGAATATGCCTCCTGTATACTAGCTTCAGAGCTTTGTTTGAGCCTCTTGAACTGATCCAGTTTTGCAAATTAGATCACATAGATGATAGATGCTAAGCATAGGCTTCCAAGAAGGAGAGTTATTAGGCTCTGTCTTAACCTGCCAATTGCTTTCATGAACCAATGTGCATTATATCCAAATATCTATTTTGTCGGGGATGCATATTATTTGATTTCCAGAATCTTTTAAGCATGACAGTTTCTGTTTTCAGGAGTGAAGTTCCCTATATTTGGTTGTATAATCATCCATTCTTCTGGTCAAGTCAAGAGCGGGTGGATTTTATCAAGGATTTGAAAGAATTTATGAAAGAAGATATTGTGGACGAGAAGAATCTTAACTATCATCTTGAAGCGTGTTATAGTCCATGCGAACCTGAAATTCATTGGAGCAGAAAAATTGATTTGAGGGTATTTGAGGAGATTTTTCATAGACCAAAAGTTGACCATTTAGTCAAAAAATATGATGCTACCCTCCCGATGGACATGGTTCGCTACATGACCGCGTGTTACAGCCATATCAACGATTACACCTACACCTATGGGGGAACCAGAGAGGTAACTTTATTTACATATTCTCTTGACATATTCATTTTTTACATGTGACGAGTGATTAGCTGTATAAAGTTTTTTGCTAACATCAACTTTTGGTCTTGTGGGTTTATTGCTTTTTTTCCCTCAAAGAAATATACCCGACACGAGGTTGAAGAATGCTTGAGGAGCTTTTTCCCAGAGATATACATTAACTTGTATGAGGCGTTTTTCGATTATGCCGGGGATTATAGTGGAGAGTAAGTAATTTGTAGTTGAATTTACAAATATTATAATTTTAGAAAAACCATTTGTTTGCACTGACACGGTACTTTTTTTACAGGTACAACCGGACTAAGGTTTTCAAAGCTTTTACTCATTGGTCCCATTTGTACTTCAAAAGAGAGGTAATAGTTTGTGGACTAACTTTTCAAGGGGTCAGCGTGTAGTAAGGCGTGTAGTAAGTCAATCTGCCCTTAAATTTTACCCTCATACCTTGAATCTTGAGATAATAACCCATGAGTTTAGCCAACCAATCTTCCCGTAACGTGAAGTCCAAGATTTAATCTAGTGTACCAAAATCTCTCCAGTGATCACTTGTTGACCTTAATGTCGAGGAAATTGCCAGAAGCTTAACTTTATACCTAGTTAAAACTTAAGGTGTTGCGACGAATTCATTATTACATCGTACAGTTAAACTGATTAAATTAATAGAAAGAAAGTGCTAATTAAAACAGCAATGTTGCTATGGTAGATGTGCACGATCCTTTTGTTAATCCATTCGCAACTTGTGTTATATAGGTACCTCGGATAGTTGAAGACATTGGTGCAAAAGTTTTTCAATCTATCTATCCTGAAGCATCATCAATCCACCCACCACGATCCTCACCTATGTCCAAGAATATTGATTGGGACAAGGTGCCTGATAGGAGTTCTCTTTCCCCATGTTTAAGAGCCTTGTTGACGTGTGCCAGAAACTTGAACAATGGATTGATTGAGATTCCTGTTCAGAAAAAGGTTATGAACATCCCTCATAGCCTTCGGTTTGGGCAAGAGGAGATGATTGAATTACTGAAGAAAGGGGAGCTTAAGGCCATTCACATAAAAGCTTATATTAGGTTAGTATTGAATATCTCTCTTGTTTTTTTATGGATTAAATTTCATAAAAGATCCAAAGTTATAGGTCGTTTTACATATTTAATCCCTACATATCAAATATTACTAATTTAGTCTCCAAATATTATATCATTTTTCACGAATGGTCCTTTGTTAACGTTTTTGTTAAGAACATGGATAAAATTATATATTCATACTTCTCTCTCTCCTCAATTAAGCTTCCTCCCTCCTCTCAAACTCTTTTCCAAACTCGTCGCTGAGTTTGAAGCTCTAAACCCCAAACTGAAATGATCATTCCTCTCTCAATTAGAAGTCTTCCTGGTGGAACCTAAAATCAAAACCAATAAGCTTTATGGATGAGTTTTATCGGTTAGTCTCAAGAAATTGCAAAGAAAATAAACAATAAAACTCATCCATGAAGGTTATTAGTTTCAAATTTGGGTTCCACCAGTTAGACAAACAACTGAGAGAAGAGTGAAGATTTCGGTTTTGGGTTCAAAACTTCAAACTCAGCGACGGGTTAGGGAAAAGAATGCGAGGGGAGGAAGGAAGCTTAATTGAGGAGAGAAAGGAGTGTGAATTTACAATTTTATCCACGTTCTTAACAGAATATTAACAAAGGTTCATTCGTGCAAATGAATGTAATAATTGAGAACTAAATTAGTAATATTTGATATGTAGGGACTAAATATGTAAAACGACCTATAACTAGGGACCTTTTATGAAATTTACTCTTTTTTATGCTTTGCTCTTCTTTTTCTTGATTCACTGCATTACATCATGTGTTCCATGTAATTCCTTGGTTTACTATTATAATCTCAATATCCTTTTCTCGTAAAGTATTTCATGCCTTGGAATTGAATCTCTATATCTGTTTCTTATTGGTTTTCTCAAACCTTCAAATTTATTTCTAAATCTTCATTTCCTCCATTTTACATTAGCGACTATCTTTTTTCTTACACATTTTCAACTTTATATCAGCTTTCTTGATTTCTGGTCTTCTTGATCTAATTGCATGGCTTATGATGAGTGCATGTTTGACAGAGTTAAATATTGGTTCATATTAAATGAATTTTGGGAATGACACTTAGTTGTATTGTATTGAAACATTATCATCTAGAAAACCACATGGAGTCACTACACTTTGGTTTCAAGACCTTGTATGATTCATTAACCACAAATTGATGCTTCTTGATTACAAATTTATGTGCTCAATTATTAAGTGTGCATACAATTGTAGCAGGCATGCGTTATTGTATAAATGACATCACGTGCTAGTGTGTCACACAGGTCAATGGTATACTTTTGGGGGTCAATGGTATACTTTTGTACAAGTAACTGATGATTTATGAATCCCGTTTTACTATACAGGCTGTTGTACGATGAATATGAAGGAGTCAGAGATGCCTTTGGTTTTATGTTTCCTTCAATGATATCTCTAGATGCCTCGGAGTTCCAAGCTCACTCAAACTACATTGTGTGTGCTCTAGATGGGTCAAAAAATAAAGTTCTTTTTGCACCATATAATGTTGGGTAAGATTATTTAGTTAAATGTATGCTCTACATTAATTTCTCTTAACTGTACTTTTTATTTACGTGTACAATAGTCCAAGGTAATACACACACACACACACACACACACACACACATGATGGTTATTATGTGAATTACCGGGTGGGACTGTGGGAGCCCTCACGCCAGGATAATGATGTTCTTGTTGTAATTGTGTAGGCGGCACTGGATATTATGTCTAATTGATCCAAAGAAAGGCGTTGTCCACTACTTGAATCCTTCTAGAGCCGAGCCTCCTGAAGATCTAAAGAATGTTGTTGAGGCGTCAGTATTCTTTTAAGCTTTGTACTATTTGTCACAATGTATATCATTAATGCCCTCACAAATCTTGTTTGCTTTATTTGGAAAAAAAAAATCAACAGAGCATTACACGCACATTGGGGGCGAGCAGATAAGGAAATAAACTGGAGGGTTATAAAGGTGGATTTGCATTGATAGATCGTTGCTTTTCATGTTTTGGTTCATATAATAAAAAGAACCTTCACTAAATCATTCTTGTTTTTCTCCCCTCCCCTTCTTGGTGAAAAAAAATTAGTGTCCTAGGCAAACCAACTTCATCCACTGTCATTGTGGCTACTATGTGTTGAGATTCATGCGAGAGATTCTTTGTCACGGCTTAATTTGGATTCCACATGAGGTAGGCTTTGATTTATTTCTTTATATGACAATATGACATGACATGGGTGTACTGTTGTTCAAGAAGTGAAGTTATTGGTGTCACCTAAAAAGAAAAGCAAATCTTATGGGCTTATGAGTTTGTCCTTTTTTTCTTTTCTTTTTTGCAGTATTTTGCAGATGCATCAGATCACTACGATCAAGGTCAGATTAATGAAATAGTCGAAGAGTTGGCGTGCCAACTTCTCCAATTTTCTTCTCCAAGATGAATTCACTTGTTTATCACTGTACTAGTTTAGGAATATAGTTTTGGGTATAATTATGAATTTCTGTTAAGGTAGTGATCTAGTTTGAACTTTTTGTAATAGTTTTGGGAGACTCCATTATTAAGGACAAATTTAGAGAGAGAGAGAGAGAGAGAGAGAGAGAGAGAGAGTTTTTGTAAGACTTGCGTTTACAAAAACTCTTTTGGGACAAACGTAGTTGATAGTCAACACTTCTTTCCCCGACTTTAGCGTCAACTTCTGTCTCTCCATCTTCAACCATACTTCGATCCATCTTCAGACATCAGTGGCACAGCTTCACTCTTGTGGTATTAGCTAAGGTGATTGATTCATCATTTAATCACTAATGTGTAATTTCTTTCAACTTTTAATAGTTTGGGTTCCTTATTTTCTAGCATCCTTCTCCCTCTTTTAAATTCAGTTCAAATTCACAAATTAACCTTTAACTCACATACACAAATCAACATTCCAAAAGTAGAGTGAAACTCTGAAATTTAACATCCGAAAACTAAAATTCTGAAATGATTGAAAAGATAAATGAATGAACTTTGCCATTCCTTATCTACAGCGGCACTTTCTTAGCAATCCTCTTTAACTCAACACGGCAACAAAATAATGTGTACCATAAGATAATTTAAGGTATAATAGACTGGATTTCAAACAAAATAAGATAGTTTTAAGCTCAAACCAGAATCCTTTTTAATTTTTTTCAATTGAAATGAAAATACTTTTAGAAAATGATGTAGAATTAACGAAACAGAGTATAGAATTGCGAAATCATTAAAGAAACAAAATAAGAATACTTTACCTGTGACGAATATCAGAGGCGTGAAGCAGGAGGCAATACCGAAGGTTCAATTTTGCAGCTGAAGATCGTGCCGACAGATCAGAAATTTTGACATTAGGATGAATCCTAAACCTAATGTCAAAAATTCTGATCTGTTGCTCAATCCGTCCTCCAGTCCTCATCAAAGCCGCGCTTGATTGCAGAGTCTGTCCTTCCGTTCTCAGCACGATTCCCAATCTCTACTTCTACCATTGTACATTGTATTGGGATGGATTAATAATGACTAATAGATAATGACCAATGGTCTTACATTAGAAAATAAAAATATGGTCCTATATTGAGAAAGTCATTATATTTTAGTCCTATTTAGTTAAATTACCATAAACACAAAAACTTATACGTAAAAAAATTGGGCACATATCCAACAAAATTTTCAAGCCTTCTGTGAGGGTTCATTTTTGTATGATGTGGTGGAGCAATTGGTACATATACAGCACATCCAAATATTTTTATGTGGGTAATATTTGGTTTTTTTTCTAGATACCAATTGCAATGGAGAAAAATGTAATTTGCAGTAGGCCTTAGCCGAATTAAATTTGTAGCATTCAATATAGCATGTCCCCAAACGGAATGCAGGTAAACTAGATTATATCATTATTGGTCTAAAAATTAATTGTAATCATTTTAATAAAGACTAAACAAGACCATGAGTGTGCAGCAACTAGATGCTCCACATCAATCCTAATAGACAATCAATAGTCATTAAATGATTGGGATGTAATCCTAATAGTCATTAAAACTCATAACCCGTTGTCTCTATTCGAATCCGAAGATACTAGTAAAAACAAGAAGAAGAGTGAAGAATTAATAGAGAGAAGAAGTCAGAAATATATTATATTTATTTTCATAATTTTTGAGTACTTTTTCTCACATTTTATAACACGTTATCATCACAAATTTGGTCATTATCTCATAAGTTCTTCTCAGATGTATGGTTTATCAAAAACTTCTTATATACAAAATAAAATATTATTTTACCATCAACAAACCAAATCCAAAACCCACTACAACCCCGCTCTCACATCTCCATTTCCGTGGCTAGTTTCTTGTGCAGGCCGGACCAAAGTAAGGACTCAAGCTAATCGGACCAACTTAAGCTAGTCTACTATCAATCTATCATGGTTTCATACCCAAAACAAAAGGCAACAACAAAAGTAAGGGGCGTATTGTATATGGATTTATATTCATAGTTTTAAACTCCAAGATTTTTATACTCCCCCGTCCACCTAAGATCTTCTCATTACGCGTTACAAAGCTTGACCGATTTTATTTTTAATTCAATTTATTTAAATATAGGGATAAAATTTTAATGTAAAATCTATGTAGTAATAAACTGCATGAAAAGTTTTACAAAACTAGAAGTGATAACACTATAATTTTATGAAATGAGTAATAAAAATAAACAAATAAAGTAAATTAAGTTTGACCATGTGAATATTGTCTGAAAAAATCAATGGTGGACAGAGTGAGTATAAGAGTAAAAAGTCAATGATTGTGAATGGCTTCATTAATGTATAAAGAAAGGATGAAACCCATCCCGAGGGCACCTTCACCAATTGTATTGCCAAACTAGTGTCGTGCTTTGACGGTGTTTTGGAAATTCTTAAAGATAAGCCCTAAGGTACTGGCGTAGGGAGTTTTCGAACCAGTAAAAAACCGGTGTGCATTTTATTTACACTTTTATTTCTATGTTTTATATATCGCTTTTGTATTTGCTAATACCGTTTTTAATAAAATCTAAAAAGTTTTCAAATGCCTTATTTACCCATCATCTTGTTTTCTTCCGTAACCTTCTTTTAAAGGGGAGATGAATAGTTGATGGAGACAAAAGAGACATGCCTTTATGTGAAGCCCATGTAATTTCCGTGCGAAGATGTATCATAGGGCCTTGAAAATATTCTAATGTCCTATCAAACACTTTCTTCCGTGCGTATTTCTCTGAGTCTCTAGTTCTGTCTCAAATAATTTATCTGATTTGTTTTGGGCCGAATCAAATTGGGCTTATACTGTTCAAATAACTTTAGATTAGGTAAAATCCTTAATTCATCACGCACGAATACTCATTGTCGAGTATCTAGGTACTCGATTTCGCGTAACAAAAATTAAGCATTTTCGAGTGATTGAATTATCATTTTCAAGAATAACTAAATTTAGAGAAATGAGTATTCCGCTACTCGAAAATGAGTATTTACTTGCTTGAAAATGAGCATTCAATTACTCATAAATGATCACTCACCGTGGAAAACACCGTACAACCGGTTGTACGGTATATATTGCGTAATAAAACGGGACATTATAGAGACGAGATGGGAATATATCTACTGGGAACAACCGTTTTTGAATTTTGCCCAGCATAACCTTCCCCTAAGGATGACAATGAGTGGGGTTCCGGTCAGATAGTACTATACCCGAACTGACTTTTAAAATTTAAACTAGAACCTGATCTGAAACCTGACTTTTTATGCCAAAAATTCCAACCCGATCCGAATCTCGCATTTAAACCCAAAATGTGAACCCGAATGCGTAATTTAACCAATAATCAATTCAACGTACATTAGTAATTTTAAAACGATTAAATCTAATATTTTTTATGTCTCATTTTTTGTCTCATTTTTTTATTAAGACAAAAGATATACTCCCTCCGTCCTAATATTAATTTCTCATTTTGACTTTTTCAGTCAAAGTTTAAAAACTTTGACTGTATATTATGGAAAAAATATATTGAATTTTCATATAAATTTAGTATCAATAGATTCATTTTGAAACATAGTTTTGAAATATATTATTTTGATAATATATATTCATATAAAAATGGAGATATTAGTGGTCAAAGTACCGCATTGGAGACCGTGAAAAGTCAAATGAGAAGTTAATTTTAGGACGGAGGGATTATTTGATATAGTAGCACCTTATCAAAAGATTATACGAGTGCTTATTATATCCATAAATAAGTTTTTATGTTATAAAATATTCTGATTTGAATAAAGGGTGCGAGTTTGGGTCACATGAACTAAAATTATAAACTTACATCCTACGTGATCCAATGTCGAGTTCGGCTGTTCGGGGTTAAAAAAAAAACGAGTCCAGTTTGAATTGCTCCCCCGAACCCGCCTCCACTTAGACCTCTTCGCCGCCGCCTCCACTTCGAACCGTCTCCGCCGCCGCAGCCGCCTCCAGCTCACCTCGTCTTTTCCACCGTCGCCTTCGGCTCGCCACCTTGACTCCGCCGCCTCTATAACGACGAGTTACATCATTGGTAATTAAGCAATTCGCATGCCAATTTCCCATTGGTAATTAAACAACTCGCATGTCGCTTTTTCAAGAGTTGTATAGTTAGTAACTGTTTTGGTGCAAGGGTCATCTTTTCAGTGTGAATTTTGCAATGTGTGCATTTTTTCTCATCTATCTCACTAATGAAGAACTATCATTTCACGACTCAATACGATATATATCAGAATATCAATATCTGAAAAAGGAAACATCTAGTAATGAAAGATTAATATTAGGTCACTTTACCCTGACGGTTCAACTTTTTTTGTCATGAATTGATGCAATCGGAATGAGGCTTAGTTATAAATAATCTTGTAAATGGTTAGATGCCTTGATATGTCAATGCATTTGAAAAGATGATTCTGCAACCAATAGTTAATGATATATCTCGAACTAAGGGTCTTAACAGAGTTGTGGTTTGGGTTAAGGAGCAAAATAGGAGCAAAACATTGATAATATGCCAAAATAGGAGTAGAAAAGAAAACTCCCCTAAATAGGAGTAATTTAAATACTCCCTATTTAACTAAATTCATTTCCTAAAGCTTACAAACCTCCGTTCTCCTCATTTCGTTGTGGGTAGACACCAAAGGCACTCATTTGTAAGTGCTTTCTTGCAATCTTGCATGGCTATGTTTTGACCAATATAGAAAAAATCAAAGAGAAAAAAACAAAAAGGAAAATAAACAACAAATAAACAAAAATAAGTTATTGAGTACATCCCTAAAATGAAAAAAATTGGGTCCTTGCACCCGGTCGCCGTCGTGCCCCGACACTGCAATCTACCCCTCGCGGTGATTTTTCACATCGCTACCAATGCCACCAATTTTGTCTACACCACCACTGACACCATAAGGATCTCCAATCGTCGCCGCCTTAGTGTCATAATGCCACAAATAACTGTAAAAAAGAATTGTCTATACAATGTCAACCAAAACAATAATGTGAAAGATTGCAATGTATATATAATAACACACATGTCACTGGATAATGTTAAATATGTTAATATATAATGCCATAAATACTGTAAAGTGTCAAGAAGTATTGTGATATGCCAACATTAATGCCAAATTTTGTACCACAATGCCAACAACAAAAATCTAAAAAACAATAATGGTAATAATTTACTTCACAGTATATTTAAAAATTACCTAACTATTTTGGAAGTAGAAGGAAGAATGAGAGAGAAGAAAATGATTGGGAGAAGGGGAGCCGATCGATCAAGATAGGAGGAGGGGGCATTTATTAATTACTCCTATTTTGGGCAAATAAGTTAGAGACTCCTATTTTGAGGATATGCCTCATGATTTTCTCCTATTTAGGGGGTTTTCTTTTGTGGTTTTTTGGAGAGGAAATGTGATAATATGTTGAAGGCAAGCAAGAGGCGAAATGAATGGAGTGTGAAAGAGTTCTTTTTAGTTGTTTTTAATATGAGAAAAGAAAGGAGGATCAGGAGAGAAATGGTGGGATTAGAAATGGGTAGAAATAAGTGTTGGATAAACCAAGTTGGTGTTAAGAGATATTACACACTCTTCTCCTAACTTGGGGTTGAATCTAGTATTCAAATAAGATATAACACACTTATTTAAATAACTAGAACCTAAAACTCACACTTAAGGTAACCACCCTTAAGATATAGAATTAGGGGTTTAAAATAGCAAACACATAAGTGTATTACTGATGGAAATTTCAGATTCAAATGTGAGTTACAACAATGGCCAATGGCCGATATAAATAAGCAAGCAAGAAAGGGGAAACTACCAAGTTCTTTCCTTAACAAATCTTTGACAATAATAATCAAATATGGAGTCCTTTCATGGGGGATGAATCAGGGATTTTGTGGGGGTGTTGGGTGACATTAGTTTGTGGTTTTTGATGGGGAAATATTAAGGAATGTGGGCTGTGTTTCTAGGCTGGGCTGGTT